TTCCTTCTTTTTACATGAGCTGTCCCAAGTTTTGGAATGCAGCATGGGATAATGATGATGGGGCATGATCAAAGCATGATGAAGCCACACATTTCGTGGAATTTTATTTAGACGCAATGTCAAGCGTCATGATGCATGTTAAGTAGGTGAATCTGTCATGAGGTTTGAGGTCCTTAAGTATTTTTGTGCTTTTTATTCGCATTTGGTGACTCATTTTTATATTAATGCAGTTTTCCTACATTATAGCAATTTCAAGGTAAAAACAAATAATTAGTCGATGCCCTTCCACGTGCTGGCGGTTCAATGCTTGCGTCGAGTGATTTTGAGAGGAGGTGGGAGAAGATTAATCCCTCCACACCAAGGCACTCCTCCTCTCCAACGTTTTTTATGTAATTAGATGATGCTTAATGCATTGTTTATTTCATTTATTTATTTACATCAATTCATTAAACAATTTAAAAATATCTTATGAGATAACAATAGTTCTTATATCTTCTTAGCATAATTTCTTATTTTTCTAAGCTTATCTAATTACTACAATTTTCTGGTCTCAGCCATGCTGATACCTATCTATATACTTATATATCTATAAACTTATAATTATGATTATAATTAATATGTTCTCCTAAAAAACGATGTTTAAAAAAAGGAGTTCCTAACATTTTGATTTTTAATTCTTACAACTAATTAAATCTACTCTTAAAAATACTTATTTTCTAAAGTTAAATCTACTTATAACTACTTAATCTAATAACTAATCTACTATTTACAATATGACTTTATGCATTGTATTGCCAGCTGAAGACATTGCGTCGAGGGATTTTGAGAGGGGGTGGGAGAAGATTAATCCCTCCACACCAAGAAACAGTTATACATAAAGTGGCGGATTGCAAGTTCTTGGTAAGTTCTGAAATGTATGCTATGAAGAACTTAATATGTTTGTCATTTTTACTTCTGAGTATAATGTTTTTATACCCTCCACCTTCAAAGGAGGGTATATTAACTTTGTCACTCCGTTTGTAACATCCCTAAATATTTGTCCTAGACCGCATAATGTATATAAATTCTTGATCAGCACAAGATTATAAATCGATTTAGCGATGCCCCTCTGTCTGTAGGTCTGTCCGTCTGTCTGTTGAAATCACGATACTGCCCACAATATTTGACGCGAAGCTTCAAAATTTGGCAGAACAATTTGTATTGTGTCTAGGATGGCTGATATTGAAAATCGGTGCACGTTTTGGTGTAGCCGCCATATGAAAGACCCACCGATATTCGTTATTTTCATAATCCTAGTCACATTTACCCACGAAATTGTTTCATCATTGGTATTTAGGACTCGCAATGCCCACTTTATGGATTTTTCAAAAGGTTAACTTCATTATCCTAAAGTCCTACTTGTATTTGCAATTTAAAGTGTAACACTTTCAATCCAGATAATTATACCCTAGAACACTGTGTTGGGGGTATTATAAGTTTGATTGGGCCAGAATTTATGTAACACCCCGAAATATTGATTTCTCATATAGGAAAGTATATATGAATCTTTCTAGCTCGCCGACCTGAGTCGATCTAGCTACGTATGTTCGTCCATCCGTCTGTACATGTTAATTTGTAATTACACAATTGCGCCTCGAGCCTCACTAAATTTTGCACGGAGATGGGCTTATGGTCAGAATAGAAGCCTATTGTTTTTGGAGATCATCGTCATATATGAAATGGACCAAATACTGAAAAATATCTTATTTTGCGGTGGCTGTACAAGTCGCAATTTTAAATCAATCGACATGAAATTTAACATGGGGCTAGAGCTTAGGACTGCGCAGAAGACTTCCAACTTGGATGGTCATCGGGTAATAATTAGCAAGTAAAATAGACCCCGACTTTTGTGTTAAAAAAAAAACAACCGCGAATATTTTTAATCCCGGCGAAAGTCAATTCTGACCATTACGTAGATGCCGATTGTAAGTATATCAGATATACAGTTATAGCGAAAAATGTAGAATCTATAAATAAAATGGAAATGGATGTTAGTTTGAGCGCTTATATCTCAAGAATGGCTGGACTGATTTGGACAAATCTTGTCAATTCAGAATGCGCTGTAGCGTAGGGATATCATTTGAATTTTTTATTACTGTTAATGCGAAGTGTTTATGCAATGGAACTAAATTTGGATTATAGAGTAGGAAAAGAATTGTTAGTTTCAAATTGTTAGTTCAAAGTACAAAATGTACTCATATTCTATAAATAAAGAAAACCACAATGGTTACAAATTTATTGATAGAAAATTCGATTTTGCACATATGAGCTTTATCACATGTAAGGCTGAAAATACATAAAGCGCATATTTGGCTGGCTTAAGTCATCGGCTGGCTTCTTCGTAAATGAACAAAGGAGTTTTAGGTTAACCTAGTTCGATTTTGGCCCTAGGCTCCTTTGTTCATTTACGATGACTTAAGCCAGCCAAATAAGCGCTTTATGTATTCTCAGCTTAAGGTAATTATTTTCAAGCTTAAAACGTCATACATAAATGCATTTGATATTTGTAGTATTGCAAGCATACAATGTGGTTATTAATGTTAAAAATTATTTTTTTATTGAAAAATTTAACATTATTTGGATTACGATTATAGAAAAGCAGTAATTTAATTTACGGGTTATATACAATCATTAATCTCTCGACATAACTATACTATTATTTTGAAGAACAGACGAAATAAAAAAGTACATTTATATGTTAGTATGCTTGAAAATTAAATAATTAAGCAATTTGTGCTTTTTAAAGTATATTAAACAAATAATAACAAAATAATATTTATTGAGAAAATGACAGAATAAAACTTAAACAATTCGTGCAAAACATATCAAACGTCTAATAACATATTAATATTCATTGAGCACATGAAAAATTGTATAAATTAAACAATTCATGTTTTTTAAACTATTTTAAGGAAATAATACCAAAATAATATTCATTGAGAAAATGAAAAATAATATAAATTAAACAATTCATGCTATTTAAAGATATTAAACAAATAATAGCAATAAAATATTTATTGAGAAACTGAAAATAGTATAAATTAAACAATTCGTGCTATTTAAACATATTAAACAAATTATAACAAAATAATATTCATTGAGAAACTGAAAAATAGTATAAATTAAACAATTCGTGCTATTTAAAGATATTAAACTAATTATAACAACATAATATTCATTGAGAAACTGAAAAATAGTATAAATTAAACAATTCGTGTTTTTTAAAGTATATTAAACAAATAATAAAATAATATTCATTGAAAAGATGACAAATACTATACATTAAACAATTCGTGCTATTTAAACATATTAAACAAATTATAACAAAATAATATTCATTGAGGAATTGTATAACTGGGTAGTCGAACTCAAAAGGAAAAAAAATAAAAGCAGAAAAGAGGTTCGATGGCAATATTAACAGAGAAAAAGACAATATCCGAGATACATCAGAAATAAATCACAGCTGTAGGGAATGTAGCACAAACTGTTGTACACTACGTATATTTAGAGATTAAAAAATGTAGTTAAATAAAAAAAGAACGTTGTTAATAAAAAAGTTGTAAATTAAAAAAAATTTAATAAAAAAAAATGTTGCTGTTTATTAAAAAAAATATAATAAAATAAAAAATAAATAAATAAAAATAACTGTTTAAATGAAAAGAAAAAAGTGAAATTATGTTATTTGTATTGAAATTTAAATTCACAAAAGCCTTCTTATTTGAAATTTAAACGCAGCATACTTTTAAAGTAGATCCAGACGTCATCCGTTTTAAAGTTATATTGTTTTAAATTCAAACCATATACTAAAAATAAATAGGCTTATTAATTTAATTTCCTATACATATAACATTTATATGTGTATAGAGTATTAATAATGACAAAACGATTCTGTGTTGACAAGCTAAAAAACCTAATTAGCATGAAAAAAGTTGCGACGCTAAAAAAATACCGGATCTATAAATTTACAGTTCGAATGTTTAATTTCTTCAACTTTTTCTTATTCTTCTTTGCTTTTAATAATATTTCACTCAACCACTTAGAATTTTTATAAATTAGGCTGCAAATATATAAAAAGCTTGAAGTCATGGCTAGGCATATTAATGCCAAATTATAATGAAAAACGACGGCAGGATTTTAGTGCGGCTCTGTAATTCCTTTGTGAAATGTCACAAAATAGGCCGTGCCATGACTTCAAGCTTCTTATGTACTTAGCCCTTTAAAGTGTTTAAGGTAAAGTCTAAACATTCTAACCTATGTTTGAAACAAATATCATTTGCATCAAACCAATTGAACTGTTTTTTCTATTATGTAGTCCGATATTTTTTTCTTCATATTTTGTCTTGATGCAAATTTGTTAAAAGCTACTTTGTAGCATTTCATCTAAAAACTGAAAATTTCGAAAAAGTTGTCTGATGGATTAAGTAAATTTAAGGAATTAACACCGAAATTTTTATTTTTTATTAACAATTCCAATTTTAAATATTCAATAATATGAATGTTACCGGTATTTTTCAGTGATATTGGAAGTGAAATCTACCATCTTCTTGACAATTTGTATTTTTAGCTGCTTTTAAAATATCGGAAGATATTATTTTGGCGCTTATGTACCTCACCTCCTTTACTGATGGATGTGTATTATTGCCTAGCGAAGATCTATCCGGGAAAAGAAATTTTCCAAAGCATCGGTTTAATTTACCAGACAATACAAATTGGATGTTTGGGTAATCCCTAAATATGTCTTCGGAAAGCAATAAGATACACTGTATTGTTTGCTAAAACCATCAATACATTGTACAGTTGCTTTCCTGTTAACAACAAAGCTTCCAAAATAATCTCTGGCCTCTTCGAGCCGGGCAATTTTGTGTTTGCAGTTTCGATATGTCGTTTTGTTGTTGGGGTTTGCGGACGATGTCGTTTTAACATTTAATTCGTCGAATACATCGTTTAGCCTTTTTATAAATTTAGCTGTCGGTAGCATCGTCTAAAATACAACCATTTTGCATACAGGCATGCATTGCGGCAGCTACAGAATTGCTTAAAACCTCAGTAGCTCTACTGACACTCATTTTATCCCACAATTTTGGATTTATGTGTTTTTCCGTCAATTTGGGACATATCTTGAAGTTCAAATTCATATATTCTACGAACATATTCGAAATTGATAACTTCGCCGCTATTCGTTTTATAGCCATGTGTAATCAAATTATTTCTGATTGATTTTATCAAATGGCAATAGTCGTACATACAATAAATTTTGTGTCCATTAAAAAAATATATATATGGTTCGTATTTCGACGTCGTTAAGAAACTGTAAAGACCGATGTTTGTAGCCCCTTGGTCACAAACAATGGAACGCACGTCTAAGCCAATATTCTGGATAACCTGCAGGTTCCCACTCAGGACATTGTGCAATACGGCTTTTGTCGTATTTTTAGAAACAGGATAAAAGCTTATAATAAATTTCCAGTCGGAACATATGCCCTTGATCATAAAAAAAAGACATCTCCTAGCCATCTCTTTGGACCTTCTGTCCTTGCCAAAATCTTCAAACCCATCCACAACATCTTCTGCCTTGTTGTATTCTAGGACGGGCTTAATTTCCACCTCATCGTGAACGACGAAACAAATGCGTTCTCTTTCCGACATGTTTTGCACTTGTGCTTTCAAGCTGTTAACAAGTGCAATATCTATACCAGGATTTAGAAAACTTATATGTTGCCATCGTCCTAGAGACCTAGGGCTGGGTAAATTCAATTTTATATTTTCCCTCATAAATTTGTAGCACATATATTTTGAGCAAAATCTCTTTCTTTTTTAGTGTAAACTTTTCGTTCGTCCGTACCCATGCGAGCTAAAGTTAGTGCCTCTTCTGATGTATTCACGGAGGTAACAATTCACTTCCTTGTGAAATTGTCCAACTCGGTTTTGAGTTTTGCAACTTCACAAGTTAGCGCATTTCGTTCTTTTGTCAGTGCCTCGATTTTTGTTTTAGTTTGTCATTTTCTGTTCTTAGTTCCTTTTCGTTTTGAATCAATTTTGAATTTTTTTTTTCAGAATTTCCATTGGCCTATTTTACATGGGTTCATCCGATTCAATTTTCCTATAAAATAAAAGGTTTGTGTAACTTTTTCCTTAACCAAAAGACGCTATTATTATACCCTTCACCATGGGTAGGAGGGTATATTAACTTTGTCATTCCGTTTGTAACACCTCTAAATATTCGTAGTTGACCCCATAAAGTATATATATTCATAATCAGCATCAGACGATTAAGCGATGTAAGTCTGTCTGTGTGTTGAAATCACGATAGAGCCCACATTATTTGACGCAGAGCTTTGAAATTTGGCACAAGTGTGTGTATTGTTCCTAGGATGGTGGAACATGTTTTATATAAAGTTCGGCCCGGCCGAACTTAATGTTTTTCTACTTGCAAGCCACACAACTGGTAGTAGTACCCATTATAAAGTCAAAAATAGGAAATTTGAAACAATTCCGGTAAATTAATGTCTCTAAAATCATCAAAATACCGAAGACGTGGACCGATATAGCCTATTTACGAATTTAAACTAAATCGAATTAGAATTTAACGCTGATATATACCTTGTAGGGTCTTAAATTAGTATTTCGAGGAATTGAAATCACACTTGAACGCAAGAAGTCTTTCTGCGAACAACTTTAACACCACAATATATATATATATATATAAATACGCAAACTTATAAATACAATTCCTTACATTATTTGCCAATATATATATTTTGTTTTCTCCTCCTCAGGTTTCGGGATATTCGGCAATTCCATTTGTACCCTTTCTTCAAAAAAAAAAAATCTCCTCGGGATTCGGTGAATGAATACAGTGGAACTGTCAATTAAAGGAAATGGTAATATTTGTGTTACCGGTTATATTCGACATAAGTTTGCGACAATAGCAAAGTCTTGCAATTATGTGTTTATTATTTTTTCAAAACTATACGTATGATAAGATTTAATTTTCAAAATAAATCCATTGTATATATCCAAATCAGAGCTGGGAACCTTTTTTTCTATGGAGTGAAATTTGGCAAGGTAAATAACAAAAAAAGAAAAGGCAGAGATGGATATGCTTATTTGAAATGGCTTTACCTTCTTAATTTTAATTTGTTCCAGAAATGTAAGGATGTAATATTTTTTACTACGATAACCGATCTATGATATCGAAATATTGCAAACTAGTAGATTCTTGCAGGTTCTGGGACAGAGCACATGATTGACCTGTTCCCGAACTGCAAGAATGTACAAGTTTTTACTTCGATAACCGATTCTCCCTTTATAATATCGAAAAAATTGCAAAAATAGTAAATTCTTGCAGATCCTGGAACAGAGCAGATATTTGCTTTTTCCATTCTTGCAGGTTCTGGAACTGGGCCAATTTATATTTAATCAGCATCCATATTATATATTTCTCTACTTTTCTCCAATGGCTTGGTATTATTGTTGTTATTACAGGCAATTTAAAGTTTAAATTAACGAAACCCGAACAGAGTTAAAAGTTTTGGTACAGATTTCAACAGTTGCAGCAAAAAGCCGTGCTGAAAAGAAAAAAATTAATTTTCGATTTTGATTTTTAAAATAGAAGTTGACTAAAGTAGATTTCTGTGTTTGTTTTCTCTTTCGAGACGAGCTTAATGATCAGGAATTTGCAGTGAAAAGGTTTTCGTTTCAATTTTTTTTTGAGGTTTATTTTGGCCAATCTATGGTCTGTTCCAGAACTGCAAGAATGTAAAAGTTTTTACTACGATAACAGATTTTCCCTTTATGATATCGAAAAAAATTGCAAAATGAGCAGATTATTGCAGGTTCTGGAACAGAGCTCTAGTTTAAACTTCTGAGTAATTTGGCCCGTATGAAACTGACAAGTCGTCTGAATACATCTATGACCTCATTATCGGAAATCGATTACAAAAAATCGACTTTTCGATTTTCACCATAGGCAAAAGTTAATCAATCAAAAGTCGACCTATGTATCCCTACTGTCAGCCAATTCACACAGTTGAAAAAAGTGAGAGAGTGAATGGTTGGGGCTGATAAATGATGATTTCCAGTTGAAATTTTAGTTTTTTTTTGTGTTTCTCTTTCCGAAATTAAATCAATCAAATGACTCCAACCAACCTTGATAAACAAATACGTTGATTTACGAGTGAAAACAAACGAAATAAAGAAAATTTCAAAGTGTTAATCGACGGTTGTGGCATTTTAAAGGAGAAAAAAGTGGAATTTTTTTTTGCAAAATCAAAGTGTTGTGTTTCTCTGTGGATCAAACGTAGCCAACAGCGAATGAGTAAATGTTTGGGGGCAACAAGGCAACAACAAATGATGATACGCAAATAAAATAAAAATCCAAATAAAAGAAAAGCGAAAAAGTGAAGAAATATTAATTCCAAAAGTTTTTTTATTCTTATCTGAAAAACCCAAGCAGCAACCACAACATAAAGCCTCTGATATTTGCAGATAAGAAGTGAAAGAAAGAAAAATAACAAGATAATTAAGAAATTTGCAAGTGTATGTAAAAGTGAAGTGAAGAAATTGTTGGTTTTGTTGTGTCTGCATCAAGAAGTAACAAGAAAGAAAGAAGCAAAAATACAAGAGCGTCTTGATGTTTGCCCAGAAAACAAAAGTTGTGAAATAAACATCAACGTCAACGTTTTTGTTGTAACATCCTTCTTTGTTCAACAGCAGCAGCAGCCGCGTAGCTGCTTATCAGCCATCTACTAACAAGCTACAAGCTGAAACATGAGTTCTCGAAACAAGTGAGTTGTTACTTTCCCCGTTTGTTTTGTCTTGAAATTTGCTATTCCCCAATGTTTTTTTTTTTTGTAATTTTCCTTGTCATAATCAATGTATTTTGTGGTTGCTTTTGTTTTTATTTTTCGGTTTATATTTTGTCTGAGAATAAAATGTGGGCGTTATGCTTCAGTGATTGACAGTTGGAATTGTTGGTTGTGCGTTTGCCTTAACTCCCCCCAACCCCAAATTTTAGCTTCAGGTGGTTTTCTTAAGACATACTCTGTAACTGTGTCGGTTAGTTTGTGTGTGTGTGTGAGAGAGTTTTTGTGTCGTGATTATGTCAGGGTTATTGTTTACCTCAAGGGTCACAACAAAATGAAACACAACACAGCCAATCGAACATAGGTGTATGGTTATGGGGGAATGGAAAGGGAGGTGAGAAAGATCCACAATGTAACCAATCAATTAATTGAATGACTTAACTTCGCCCAAAGCCCATAATTACAGCTACTTGACTTTTTGTCTGTCATTTTGGATGACTCATTCTCATCGGCATTTTCTTGATTGTTTTTTTGTTGTTGTTGATGTTTTTCATTTCCTTTTAAGTTAACATCTTCACTATCATTCCTTGCGCGAAAAAATTAATGTCGTGATGAATCATTGATTGCCAAAATTCTAAGGCCAATAAGTCATTCGGAATTACTTTCCAATTGAAGACTGAATATAAAAGTGGAAGTAATGGCATTAAATGGTCATGATGGAATTAGAATTAGGAAATTACCAATAAATTAATGCAGGAATTTATTACCGGCTCAATTTTCTTTGAGGAGCACCTATCGGCATGATGCCATCCGTGGATTAATTGTACTTTAACAGTGCGTTGGGTATAGACTTCCTATAGTGATCTACCTTATGAATAAGTGGAGAGAGGACATTTGAAAATAGAAAGATAAAGAAATTAGGATTTCAAGTCTAATGTAGACTAGTTGCACAGTTAGGAATGTTAATGAGATTCACGTCTGATAGAGTATGTTAAGGAATGTATATCTCATATCTGCCAAATATACGATGCCTCTGGTTTTAGAGCATAAAGCCTTGTCTAATAAATCCTCATCCCTACAGTTCGACTGTAATCTAAAGGAGGTTTCCTGTAGAAAAACAATTAGAGAAAGAAAAGAAAAACGGAAAAATAATTTTGGAAGTTATTTGTGAGAATGGAATCGTATATGGGCAGGCGGAGAAACTGCGCAACATTGAGTAGGAATATGACAATTGGACAAATGCGAACTTTTGTGAGAGATCACCTGTTGATGGAACCGGTATAGAATGTTTATACCCTCAGCCATATGGCTAGAGGGTATACAGAGTGAGATAAAATAACTGCAACAAAGTCAAACGCCATAATTTTTACATTTTTTTAATTTATTGAAAAGCAAATGCAAAAAATGTCGGAAATAGCATCAAATTTTAGAATAAGTTTAGATTTGTTCGAATTGGTCACCTTTGGCACAATTATGGCCTTCAAACGGCCAATGAAACTGTCACACGCTGCCCGAATGTTGCTTTTCGGTATTTTGGCCCATTCCCGGCGAAGCGCTTTCTTGAGGTGATCGACACTTTGGTATTTTTAGTGCCAATATTGCTTTCAAAAATACTCCAGACACAATAGTCCAACGAATTGATATCCGAAGATTTTGGTGGCCATTGAGTGCTGGAAATGAAACGAGGAAACTCATTTTGTAACCACGCACCAGCCAAGACATGCTGAGTGCGATAGTGCTAAGTCCTGTTGGAATGTCTAAGGTCTGCGGCCAAAATGTTTGCGTGCCCAAGGCATTAATACACCCTCCAGAATATTTTCGCGATAATATTCGGCATTTTTTCTGATGCCACGGTCGATTAATACGTGCGGAGAGCGACCATCGCTTGCGATATGTTCAGCTCACGAGCCATTTTTCGGCTACTACGACGCGGGTTTCGATCAAGTCGCTTCTTTATTTTACGAACCATTTCTGCTGATGTTGCTCTTTTCGTTTGTCCCACATCACGGTGACGAGCGATGGTACGAGACACAAAAAATTTATTCACATTTAAATGCTGGAGTGCCCTAACGATGGCCACCTGTGGTTTTCCAGCCAAATGTAAAGAAATCACACTATCACGCTTGAATTCCATCACGAATAATTTTTTTTTTTTTCTAAAAAATTCTCACCAAAATGCTTTTGTACGCTTGCAAACAATATAATGAGCTGTCACTGGAATAATTTTAACACCTGTCTGTATGAAGATGCTCTGATCCCTGTGTAATTGAGGGTTGCCATGTAATGTCATGCTCTTGGCTTTCAGGACCTCCCTCAGGAGTGATGAATTTTTAGTACATTTTGCTTGAAGAAGCTTAATTTGTTTTATTTCAAGCCTCTAAAAATGGTTTCAAAGGGTATTTCTTATTACATTGGTGGAATGGTGTAATAGGTACGCTTATCCCGACCTCCACTTCAGGTGCGGTCCCTCCTCAATATGTGAAATTATAATAATGTTGTAGGCTCTTATTTCTTATTGAGCTAGCTTTGATAAAAATTAGAGTATGAAGACTTAGTCATGGTAATATCCTCAACTATAAAATGGAAGATATATTAAATTTGTCATTCAGTTTTCATCACCTTTTAATGTTTGTCCGGGACCCTATTCTCTGTCGATTTTTCCATTACCAACCAAATCGGCTGTGATTTTGTATTTCCATGTTAAAGAATAATAACTTGGCGAATTTATTTTTCTATCAAATTTCGTCTCTCAGTCCGAATTTATTGGAATCGGACATACATATCACGTTTGGTGCATCAGGTATGTGAAATCGGCTGAAAATATATATGGGAGCTATATCCAAATCAGAATCGATTTCAACATAATTTGGCAAATGTATGTTCTTTGTAAATTCCGTTACACATTCCAAATTTCATCGAAATTAGAGATACATAGCCTGTTTGGTGGATTAAATACATGAAATCGGCCGAAAATAATAAAATAAAACTGAACACATTTCAATATAATATGACAAACAAATTTTTTAGTCAAATTCCATCACACATTCCAAATTTCATGGAAACGTGGCGTACACAGCGTGTTTAATGCATCAAATACATGAAATCGACCGATAATATATATGGGGGCTATACCTAAATCGGAATCGAATTCAATATAATTTGACAAAATTATTTTTGCTCCAAATTTTGTCACGCACTCCAAATTTAAAGACTATGTCTGTAATCGATCAATGGAGCTAAAAAAAAGTGATTAACCCATTTATGCGACTGTACCATAAGGTACCACTTGCACAGATTCGCATTTTTCCTAGTATCTTGAAGTTGAGTAACCTTTCTGGTTGAGCCATGGTACGTTCCAGAACTGCAAGAATTTCGAATTTTATACTACGATAACCGATTGATATCGAAAAAATTGTAAAACTAGTAGATTTTTTCCATTTCTGAAACAGTCCATATTTTAGATTTTTTCAAATTCTGGAACAAACCCTATTTTAATATAGTCCCAAAATAAAAAATACAACTCCTTTTGAAGTACATATTACCCAGATTTTTTAATTTTCTCCTGGTGGCACAGGGAAGATGCTTTTAACCACCCAAGAGGTTATTATTTCTCGCATGAACGTCATATTGTTTAGACATTCGTGCGGTTCTCTTTTTATCTTTAATAAAAAATATGTTAAGAATTAAAGAAAATAACTACGATGACCATGTTGTGTGTGTGTCATATGGGCATTGTAGCACTTTTACCCAGTGATGTTGCATTGTTATTTTATTCGAGGCACTTGAAACCGCTACCCTAGATTATCACACATCTGGAATTCATTTATGACACCCACTGCCAGGGAAAACTTAATTTTCATTTTTCCTATTAAAACAATTACTAAACTCTTCTTTTTTTCTTCATTTCGTTTTACAGAACTGATGTTAAAAAATTATTCGAATATTGGTGTGAGGTATCACGAACTCATGATGGCATTGAACACACAAATATTTCGAGACACAGCAATGGTGGTAGTGGTGGCTATAGCGGTGCACCAGTGGGCGTAATAACAGAAAGTTTTCCCGAGAGTTTTCGTGATGAAAAGACAATACACGATATACCCGCCTTTGCATTTCCCTGTGAATTTGAAAGGTAAGTAGTTTTTGTAATGTGTAAATGTTTTCTTATGTTTTTTTTTTTAATTTAAAAATGCTTGTAGGTACAATTTTATGTAGAGTTAGAAGGAATGACGAAGCGGATGAATTGAATGAATGATGAAATCTAGGCAAGCACTTGAAACATTTAGTTGGGCCTTTTTGTTTTATTATTGCACTTGGCACATGACAGTTTCCAGAACTGCCTCCCTACATTTATTATGGTGCGTGGAGTAGTAGTTCTTGTTGTTGTTTGTTAATTCAAAACAATTTCCGGTAATTTAACAAAGACAAGACATCAGCAGCACCAGCACCAGCACCAGCAACAACATAAACACAAGCAAACATTTTAAAATCACCTTCTTTTGGAGTTAGGAAAGAAAACCAAGAGCTGGTTTTTGATTTGTTTGCTTGTGTGTGCGTCTGTCTGTCTGTATTTTTTATATTATTCCCTCCTTGCGCGGGCAAATCTTTATCTTTTATTTTTTTTTGAACGAAAACTACATTTTTGTGCTTGGACAGCATAATAGCTATGACGAATGTCTGTTATTTTGTTGTCTGTGTGCCCATCTGGCCCTTGTATCTCCTTTTTCAGTTTGAAAGAGGTAGTGTATGTCTTATTGTGTCTTGCCATTTTGTAAGGGTAAGGTTTGCTGCCAGTCAGGTTGTTTTGCATTTTGTTTGGATTTTAGGTTCTTGCTACGCAAAAGCCTCACTTCATTGATGGAGTACCAAAAGCAAGCACTTGAGTGGTTCTCTTGCCATTATGAACAACAACAACATCGGCTTGAGTTTAACAATAACATTGTTTTGAGTGGAGAAATAACAGTGGGGACTGTCTGGTTGGCAGGGATGGGAATATCAGGGCTTTCAAGAAGTTCATCAAAGATTCCGAATGGATTAGAAAATACATATGAAAACTAAATCCTTGTGTTACATTCTAACTACGGATTGGAGACACACGGATCTACTAGCGGGAATTAATGAGGTGACCAATCGCCATTTATAAAAATTCAATCGTGCTGGGAAGTATTGACAATATTTTACTATAACCAATATTGATAGTGTAGATGATATATACCCCTGAAACTTCCAGGTCTACATGGCATTATCACTAAAATGCCGCAACAAGCACAATTGATGCGGATATCAGTTTTGGATGGCCCTATCAAGGCATGTCAGTATCTAAAGAATATATTTGGGAATATAGTTGGGAATTGGAATCACTTCCAAAAGATCTCTCTTTCTTATACCTTTTACCATAAAATGAAGCCTCAACACCTCGAAATATTAGTCGGGAAACCCCATAAATGTATATATTCATGGTCAGCATAAAAACCTAAGACGATTTAGAAATGGGAGCAATTGCCATTGGAGGTTTCTGGCACGATTTCTAACCAAATCAACAGGAATTTGGCATTTCGGGTTCCCTATAGTAGATATATATGCTCCTTAATATGGGCCCACTTTGTGATATCAAATCAGCTGTAACTTGACATTTAGAGTTAGCAGTTCAACACTTCGATAGAATATTTAATTTAGGTCCACAGCCTGATTTGGGTATTTTGAGGTTTCGTCTCCCAAATTCCAACTAAATAAGTTGAAATTTGTGTTTTCAGTGGGTTGATTTACTCTTAGCAAAAAAAAAAATAAATAAATAAATAAAATAATAATTTAATCAGGTCTACTTTTGGAAAAGGTAGTGGTAACCCCTGAGTTTCGAAATTTTGAAGGTTTCAGCCCAAATTTTCAACCAAATCAGTTGCAATTTGAAATTTGGGTACTTTGTCGGTAGATGAACTCCTCTAAAATGATATCAAATAAATAAACACCACACCAGATACGTGTACACAGAAATGCATATCGAAACAAATTTCGGGGCTCCCAATTAGAAAAAAAATTCCATAAAAAATATACAAAAACATTGAAGAAAAATAGCCATTTCTGAAGTAGCCCTGTGTCCCCATAATGGGAATTCCACGTTTTAGGGATTCTAAGTATGATCGGTTTGGACTTTAGTCAAGTTTTCACATGACGGAGGAATGAAACTTATGTTAGAACATTAAGAAGGTCTCTGGATATTGACTCAGATCTTTCCTACTTTTGACCCCATACGTCAACGGCAGTAATGGAGGTATTACTTCATGCAATAGCAGCCATTATTGGCATAGAATAGGGAGGATTTCAAACAACGATAAAGTCGATTCCATCGATAAAGACCTTCAAACCCTTCCGATCAGCGAACCCAATTTTGCAACAAACATCAAATACGTGGATTTATGGAGAGATTCTATGCAGCAGGTATCAATTATATATTGGAAAGAGTTTCATTCGAAAGTTCGTCACAATGGTAGAGTACTGGCCAAGAATGAAATATTCTGAGTTTTTTTTAAAAGTCTGAGATGAGAAGGAAATCAGGATGATCGGGGACCCTCAACAACCCATCTCAAATGCCATAGTAATTGACCAATCGACAAAATTTGAAGATATATATGATCTATGCAGGGGTCATTTGTTTTGACAGGGATTTCTTTCATGGTCATGGGTTCTTTAAAAATGCCATGGTCGTAACGGCTTTGAAATCACTCAAGTTCTGTGTCATCAAATCTATGACTAGAATGTTCTTTATATATTATTGGATAATATAAATGGATGAATTCTTTATATATTGTTGGATAATATATCATTACAATATCGTCGGAAATTAAGCAGAAAATAAACTTTCCATGCGGCTAATTAAAGATCACTGTAGTCGCAAGGTCAGCTAAGAATTGATAAAAGAGGCAGATATCATTCCCTCCCAAAGGAAGACTAATTGGCCTCAACGGGAAATTAAATCGATTTAAATTTCGAGTGTTCACCTACCGCCGCTTCAGAGAATCCTTCCTTCCAATCCTTCTATGATCGAATAGCAAAAATTATTTTCCGTGATATTGTCACAGCTGCAATTGTGGAATTGTACTTGGCCTCAGACAAAATTTCCTGGCAGGGATGGATTACTAATCCCTGAATTAGAGGGAACAAACTTTGTTGGAGGAGGAGTCGGCGAGGTCCCCGAGAGTGACAGGATGATACAGGTAGGTTGTGACGAGTGGAAATAGAAATTCCAACACCGTAGTTCCGTTTGCAGAGTTTTCAAACCAGGGTTGAATATCTTGGAACTGGTGAGGCTATGTCTTGGTGGAATTCCTCACATTCTAGACGACATAGAAATTGTTACAGATGTGAACAATTGTACGATCATGGTTTCTAATCCTATTGCCGAGGACATAGGTTAAAATGGTGAAAAATCTTGTCGTCACATTTCGAAAAACTGAAACATTTTTGGGATGTCGTGGATCACTTTGTTGGATTGATAAATAAAGAAATTGGTTGAAAAATTCAAGTTATTGGGACAAGCTGATGTTGTGAAGACATTTTGAAAAGACTGGGGTCTTAAGGCCAATAAGCCTTTTTGCATTTGCTGACTGGGTTTTTTGAAAGCATTTTTCAGAAACAGTCGACTGTCAAAGCTGGGGCTCGGAAAACCTAAGAATTATTGTAGAGAAGCCTCTCCATTCTCAATGGGCAACAGTTTGATCGATTATATAGTCCGGTCAGGGCATATGTGGAACCTTACTTTTAAAAAAAGTAGTTGCAACAAAAGTTACGGCAAATAGGCTGCGGCTCCATCAAGAGATGATCAATAATTTTTGTAATCGGACTTAAATGGCGCCAGGAGCATGCAACGGAACCCTTAACCTGGAAAAGTTTCCGATCCTTGATATATCTGGAAGAGGAGATCACATGTCGCTTCGGAGTTCTTGTGATTTAACACCTTGGTATGAAAATTAATGTCTACCCCCAAATTCCGCCGTCGATTTGAGATCTCAAAAAGAGTTGTTTATCGACATTTCTTGAAAAGAAGGATATAGTCCTGTAAACGGGGCTCGTGGTGGTCATTTGGATGACAATACTACCTTTGACGAAGTTGGACGGAGCGTTCTCGTTGTTGTTGTTGTAGCAGTAATACATGCAGATTCTTGGATTCCGCTAATCTGGTTCGAGCTCCAGGTTTTAAAATTCGGCTACCTGCCGTGGAGACTACCCTGTCAACCTGTTTCTTCACCTTCGCCACAGTTAAAATGAGTAGAGTTGGTGAAGCCACTGGTGAGCTCATGAGAGCCAGTTTGGAGAATTTTGAGTCAGACTTCGGCTTGTCTCCCCTTCCTTGAGACCATTTGCTTATCGTTGTTAGGCGATGATGCAATTTTAGGACCACCGGAACTTGCCACGTCAACGAGCCCAGCTTCATTCAGGAGAGTCATCTCTTGGCTGGAGGTCGAGGCATGAATTACCGTAGGACCAATGTCCTCTTCCTCATAAGTCAGAGGGTTTCTCAGAAAGGAGAAATAGAAGTCTTCTAATTACAAAAGAAATCGTTCGATTTCCAGAAGATTTATGGAAGGTCTCTCTTTTAATGGAGAGAAAAATATAACATTTCCATCCCTGCCGTTTGGCATAGTTCCTTGTGGCTTAAATCCTTCTTCATCATTTTGTTGTTTGTGGTACTTTTTCTTAATTTATTTTGATTTCGATTTTCTTGTGTTTTTTATTTTGGCAAACCCAATAACGATCCAATCTATTTAACTGGCATATCGTTCGACGTAATTTTGTTTGTGATTTTCTGTTTTTCAGTTTTTATTCGCAGCTGATGGCTTTGTCTGTTGTGCTTGCTCTTCGAGGCAGCTGATGTTTTTACTGCTGCTGCTGATGACGTTGGTTATTTCTTTGTATGCCGATGATTCATTCATTTAGTAGCCCCATTCATTAAGCAATCTACCATTGTTGTTTTTTTATGTTGTTGTTGCTCCCCAACACCACCACCATCCATTCCTCAATGGTTTAGCTTCTGGTTTATTGTTTTGGGGTTTATTATTTCATCAAAACTTGTTTCTTTGATTTGCACGCTTTAGTTTTGTAGTTGTAGTGGCAGTTAAGGTTGATATAAATTTTGTG